CCCGCCATTAATAAGATTTTAAAAAAATATTTCCGCTGAAACGACCGGTTAAAATAGCTTAAAACCGTAGGAGAAGATTCGTTTGTTTTTAATTCGACATTTTTAAATTTTACAAATTGTCAAACGAACGTATGTTTTACTTATATGCTAATTTATCGGAGAGTTCCGTCGTGGCCCGACTTGCTAGCACTTGCTAGCACCGTAAACATGACAACAACGTCCTTTTATAACTTTCATCTTGTCTTTTCCAAATCCACAAAGAACTTTACGTCAGGAGAATGGACGAAAACGCGTTTATTTTTTTCCCCCAACGAACTGATCTTTTACTAAATATTTATTGTTACTTTATTTATACAAAAGAAAAGACCCAGAATGTCATGTTATTGCTTCCTCTGTCAGAGCTCGGGGACGAACGCCGCCATGGTGGACCAGACCCGGGCGCCGATCGCCTTCGGCCGGCGGGCGGTCCCGCAGCTGTTCGAGGTGCTGCAGCTTCCGGAGACTGACGTCATGCACAGACGCCGGGCGCTGGTGTCGCTGTGTGACCTGATGCACGACCCCCAGCGGATCCACCAGGCTGTGGATGGAGGTGGGTGACACGAATACTCTATGTATATATATATATATATGTATATATATAATCACAAGCACAGCAGATTCTGAGAAATACAACTGATTTCCACTGGGACTTGTAAAGCATCACCTTTGTTTTTTTTTTTTTTTGGTGTAGCACTTTACATTATCTTGAGTTTTCTTGCCGTACATGTGTTGACAAAAATACAACACTAGAGTATGTGTACTGCAGTTTTTTGGTGTTTTTTGACCACAGGTGTTCTGGAGCAGTTGGAGGTTCTGCTCAAAGATGAAGATGCCACAGTCAGGAAGCAGACCTGTGAACTGCTCCACCTGATCTGTGGCCACAACATCGGCAGGTACTACAATACTGCAATACTCGGGTGTAGTACTCGTCAAGTACTCTGGCTGCGAAGGGTTTTTTTTTTCAGAGACGTCTTCTCAACAATCAACGAAACAAATATCTTTTTCTTTTTTTTTTACATTATTAGAATTAACCGTGTCACCAGCAGAGGGCAGTATACTGCCTGTATTACTAGTACAGTAAACCCTTGTTTTTCGCGGGGGTTACGTTCCAAAAAGAACCCGTGATAGGCAAAATCAGTGAAGTAGAAATCTTTATATTTTTTACAATTAAATACTCCTCCTCTTCCCTGTCACTGTCAGCAAAGTTTTGATACAGTATTCTCACTTTTGTGCAGATAACGTTTGTATCCAACGTAATGTTTTTTTTCCTGCAGTCATTAATCCACAGAGCTAATGCAGACTCCATCCTTACCATGGTCTTGTTGCGGGCAGTTGCAACCCTTTTTGAATCCTTATTAAAACTTATTGCTGCTGTCTTCCTTATGTTTTTTTCTTCCTTCTTTATGGAACGAACGGAAGATTCATTAATTCCATAATGCCGACCTACAGCCGCATAGCTTTTAGCTTCATTTAGCATGTCCAATAGTTTTACTTTATCACCGATAGACAGCATCTTCCGCTGCCTTTTGGTCCCTACCGCAGGTACTTTTGCCGGTCCAGAGCGTTTTGTCGACATTATGGGGTTTGATAAACTCGAAATTGCAAGAGAATTTGCACGTACGTAATGTCAATTTGGCAAGCTGTTTTGCGTACGTGTACATAATAAACCGCAACGTTATTGGCGCACAGGTAGAGAAGAAGCGGAGTGACTTTTTAGCCAATCAGAATGCAGAACACAATGCACGATGCAAATCCGTGAAGTAGCGAAACCGTGAAAAGTAAACCGCGTTATAGCAAGGGATCACTGTATACCGGTTTGAAAGGATATATTACAGATGTATGTGAATGGCTCAACAATGCCCTCAATTACCTTTTTTATCAGTGACATTGATATCATTGAAGTCAGTGGGGTGTTTGTTCCTGCAGTTCTGTACCACCTTTAGAATTTCCATTTTATCCACCTTTTGAAGAAACATCCACAAGGTCATGAACCGCCTGGCCATGCTGCCCGCAGGTAGAACCAGGCATTACTGTCCCCTAGAGGCTCTGTTTTCCGCTCCTGTATTTTCAGTGATGACGTGAGTACGGTGTCCTGCAGGTGCCAAGGCTCTCCTCGCGCTGGTTCCCAAACTGTTGACAAAGCTGGAGGAGGAGGAGGAGGAGGAGGTGCAGGTTCTCCTCCTCTCCACCCTCAGTTTCTGCTCCACCCTGGACGCTCTCCCCGCCCTGGCCCTGGATGCTGTCTCCTTGGTGAGACAGAAGCTCCTCCACTCCTCCCAGGACGTGCGCCGAGAAGCGGCGGCGGCCATGATGGCGCTCAGGTGATGACACCAAACCACGCTAGGCTAAAATGCTACGTTGTCTGGAAAATTTGTTTCGATTCACGTTTGATGAGTTTGTGTGGTTTTTTTTTTTTCGTTCGTCGCAGTGTTCCCGAGGAGGGCAAGCGGCGGGTGTGTAAGGAGGCGGTACTTCCTGAAGTCGTACGATTGTTACAGGAAGCAGACGTAAAGGTTCAGGCTAACGCTGTCGCCGTCATCATGTACACGGCCATTACTACGGAAGGTACACGCGCAGAATCAAAAATCAAAATTCATCCAGCGGGCCGGATTGTGTCCCCAGGCGGGCCGGTTTTGGCCCGGGAGCCATATGTTGTTCACTGCTAGTTAACCGTTAACTGGACTTCCCTGCTCCTTCTGTTTTGCCCTCAGGTAAAATGCAGTGCCTGGACCTGGACGTGGTGCCGGTCCTCCTGGACCTGGTGTCCAGTTCCGAGGAGGAGGACGAAGAGGAGGACATGGAGAAGAGGAGGAGGAGGAAGGCCCTCGTCATGTACTGCCTGCGGGCTCTGACCACTCTGGCCGAAGCTCCCAGAGGACGCCACCTCCTGATGGAGCAGCTCCCCCTGCTGGAGAAATGGAGCGAAGTAGCGGAGAAGGACGAGGACATCAGGCGAGCCGCCCAGACCGCGGTCAGGGTCATCACCTGGGCTCCGTGAGGACCAGGAGGGACCCCGAGGTCCAGACTCTGGTCCAGGTTCTGGACTAGACCAGTTTTAGTAAAAAAGTTTGGACTTCTGTCTCAGTTTTATATTTTAATATAATATACAATATTCATATATTTCTCTATTTTATTTACGCATTTTTTTAAATATAATGTAAATATGCATTTAAATTTTTTTTTTTAAACAATTAAATATTTGAAATAAACTTGACGGGTATAAAAAAACAACTGTATTTTACATGACTTTATCAATATGTATTTTTTTCCTAATTTACAGACGCAGGAAGCTCATTAGTGTTTGATTCATTTTGATTCATTCATTTATATATTTTCAAATATTTCCTCTCAAACATCCAGCAGCCTGCAGTCATGTCCACTTCACCACCGCGTGAGAGAACCGTTCCCTTCTGACCTGCTGGTCTGAATGAAGCTGCTCTCCAGTCGAATTAAGGCCACAGCTCTGCAGCTTCACAGAGTACATAAAGGACCTCAGAGTACTCAGTAGTATCAGAGTCAGAGTGACCTTTGACCTGTTGTTCTGAAACATTGACAGATTATCTTTGAATAAAAACAGTAAAGGGACATGACTGGATTCTTTTCGAATGAAGTAATTTTTTTTTTCATTGTGTCCCACTGCGGCCCAGTTACAAATTACCCATAGACCAGCACGGGTCCCCGGACCAGGGGTTGAGACCCCTGTTTTAGGTGTCATGTAATAGAAAAATATAATTGTATGAAACGAGTGACTCTGCCAACACTGAAACATCTTTCTTTCTGCACGTTTAAAACGAGATAAAAAAGTGTCATTAATTCAGAACTAAACTTGAGTTAATTATGAACAATAGTGGAAATAAATACACAAAGTAAACACATTTTTTGTTTTTCACAATGTGCAACATATGACTAACAAATTAATTTTACTTAATGAAAAATATCGTTAATTCAACACAAAGCAGATACCTTTTATTTATTTATTTATTTAATTATTTTTATTTTTAAGTTTTTCTTTTAGTTTTACTTTTATTTTTACTTTTGCTTTTATTTTCTTTTAATTTTTACTTTATTTGTTTTTACTTTTATTCTTTTATTTATTTTTTCTTTTTACTTTTTCTTTTATTTTTTCATTTTGTTTTAATTATTTTTTATTTTAATTTTGACTTTAATTTTTTCTTTTTAATTTTCTTTTTCTCTTTTTCTTTTCTTTTTCTTTTTTAAATTATTTTTTATTTTAATTTTTACTTTA